GAGAGAGAAACATCCAATTGGGTAGCTTCCCACACATACCCAGACAGGAGATCAAACCCACAACCTAACTATGTGCCTTGACTAAGGAATCAAAACCTGCAACCACTTGGTGCATGGGATGACACTCCAACCAACTGAGCCACCTGGCCAGGGCAGTATACACATTTTTTAGGGTTATGTTTCTGAAAAGGTCTATGGTCTACAGCTGAATTTGGAAACTCAGGGTTTCCTAAGTGTGATAAAAATTTAGAAAACTTTCAAAACCAACCTACCTTCAAACAGAATTCTTCTCTGCCTAAATTTTGGCTTTCTTGGAATACTTAAAAAAATTTTTAACTATGGAAAATTCACTTATATAAAGTAATAGAGAGAATAGTGCCATGTATCAACAGCCCAGCTTTAACAAACACCATTTCATGGGCAATTTTGTATGTCCACTATTTAATCTTACATGCTTACTGCATTATTTCGATGATAATCTCAGACATCCTATCATTTTGCTCATAAATATTTTATTATAAAAATCTCTAATATAAATAAGGGCTTTTTAGAAACATAGCAGTATGTCATTACCACACCTAAAATTAGGTAAATAACCCCTTAACACTGTAAGTGTTCAGTTTTTCTGTCTCAGAAACATTTTGCAACAGTTGTTTTGCTTGACTATGAGTCCAAACAAAGCCTAGCATTTGGTTGATATATGTCCTCAGTTTGTTAAATGTGTGGTTTCTCTGCTCTCTAGTCTTCCTTGCAAACTATTTGCTGAAGAAACAGTTGTTTGCTTAGTTCTAAATAGTGGAACTGCCTTTTTTCCTGGATTTTGTTAATGTCATCCCTGTGATGTCATGTACTATGAAATTGTGCCCTGAGCTCCAGAAAATAATACTAACACCAATTATTAACACCTTTTGACTGCTGATGATGTGCCATTTAAAGTGTTTGATGTGTAAGAAAAAATTCAATCCTCCAAAATCTCTAGTTTCTATGCGTTAAATACAAACATGATGTAATTTTAAAATCATGTGACCTTTAAGTAGTATGATAGCACATAATAATAAAGCCATACTTTTTATACAAAATCTAAAATAATTTAAATAACTCAAATAATTTACAAAAATCACGTAATTCAAAGTCAAAAGGACTGATTTCTAACTTTGCTTATAGTAATCTTATGATGATTCTCCTTTTAATTTCTAGATGATAAAAAAATAATTGCTCTCATTTTTAGAGTTAATTTTACTTTTAAAATTATATGAAAATTTTAAAAATGAATCCCTTTAATAAAATGGAACTAACAAGCCGAAACCGGTTTGGCTCAGTGGATAGAGCGTCGGCCTGCGGACTGAAAGGTCCCAGGTTCGATTCCAGTCAAGGGCATGTATCTGGGTTGCGGGCACATCCCCAGTAGGAGATGTGCAGGAGGCAGCTGATCGATGTTTCTCTCTCATCGATGTTTCTAACTCTCTATCTCTCTCCCTTCCTCTCTGAAAAAAATCAATAAAATATAAAAAAAATAAAATAAAATAAAATGGAACTAACAATAAGTTTGTTTTTCCAAGTAGTTCATGGGGAAGGAGTCTGAGTAGGGTAGCATTTGTATATTTCTGGAACACTGGTCATAATGACATTCAATATAAACCTTATATTTCAGCAATACACACACACTCCAAAATGCCAAGTTCTTATCTCATAAACCATTGAAATGTAAAACTGTTCTCAGCACTTTGGTGTACTTTCAGGTGACCTATGAATTTTTCTTTCCTAATATTTTTATTTTATACACTTGGGATCATAATTGCTGATTTTTTGTTTTCTTTCCTCAATTACTTTATTTCATAGCAATTTTACGTTCACAGCAAAATTGAACATGAAATACAAAAATTTCTGTGTACACCCTGACCTCACCAGCACAGCTTCTCGCATTGTTAACATTTCCCAACAGAGGGGTACATCTGTTACAACTGATGAGCCTACATTGACACATCATTATCACCTAGAGTCTATGGTTTACATGAGGGTTCATTCTTTTTTTAAAAAAAATATATATTTTATTGATTTTTTACAGAGAGGAAGGGAGAGGGATAGAGAGTTAGAAACATCGATGAGAGAGAAACATCGATCAGCTGCCTCCTGCACACCCCCTACTGGGAATGTGCTCACAACCAAGGTACATGCCCTTGACCGGAATCTGAACCTGGGACCCTTCAGTCCCCAGGTCGACACTCTATCCACTGAGCCAAACCGGCTAGGGTGAGGGTTCATTCTTGGTGTTTTACATTAGATGGGTTTGGGCAAAGGTATAATGACATGTGTGCACCATTATGGTTTCATACTGAATTGCTTTATGGCCCTAAAAATGCTCCGTGCTCTGTTACTTACATTGTCATGATGCTCTGGTTCTGATTCCCTGCATGTGTTAATTTTAGTGTACATTTTTAATTATTCTCTTACTTCTACCCAGGTAGCTTTTGTCTCTTGAATCTTTCCTCCCAAATCATCTTGAATCATCTCCTCTCGAAATCAGGCATACATAAAAATATGTTGCATGTAACATTTCTTGACTAAAAGTTTATGGGCCATAAGAAAGGGAGATATCTTTTATTAGAGAGTAAAAGCCTAAAGCCATTTATTATAACTTTTTGCTCTAGGAGTTCTCTTAGCAACCCCTTCACCAATAACACGTCACTGACTACTATACACTATGTGTTTTCTCAGCCTAACCCAATCTCAACTTCTCTCATTCTAAAGAGGAAAATAAATCCTCCAATTAATGATTGAAAAGAAATTCATCCAGAGCTTCAAGTTTGAATCTCCTAAATCATTAAAGGATTCAAAAAACAAGAGTGCCTTTCATATAATGTGATCCATTGTTTTTAATAAATGAATTATGCTTTTAACTAGCAAAATTTTTATTTTTAACTAGAGGCCTTGTGCACCAAATTTGTGCACAGGGAGAGGGGCCCCTTCAGCCCAGCCTGCATCTTCTCCAATCTGGGACCCCTTGGGGGATGTTTGACTGCCAGTTTAAACCCAATCCCACAGGGTATGGTCATCCCTGTGGGATTGGGCCTAAACTGGCAGTCAGACATCCCTCTCACAATCCTGGACCACTGGCTCCTAATCGCTCACCTGCCTGCCTGCCTGGTTGCCACTAACTGCCCTCCCCAGCCCTGCTGGCCTGATTGCCCCTCATTGCCCTGTGTGCTGGCCTGATCACCCCTAACTGCCCCCCCGATGCCAGCCAGGTTGCCCCCAACTGTCCTCTCCTTGCTGACCTGGTCTCTCCTAACTGTCCCCCCTGCCAGCCTGGTCACCCCCAACTGTAACCCCTCACTGGCCTGGATGCCCCTAACTGCCCCCCCCCCCGCGCTGGCCTTGTTGTACCCACTACTCCCCTGCTGGCCTTGTCATCCTCATGGCCCCTCCACTGGCCTGGTAGCCCCACGCAGCCTGCTGTTCAGTCGTTTGGTCGTCCCTCACTAACCCCCTGCTGGCCTGGTCACCCCTAACTGACACCCCTACTGGCCTGGTCACCCTCAACTCCCCTCCCTACCTCTCACCAGCCTAGTTGCCCCTCACTGCCCCTGCTGCCAGTCTAATTGCCCCTAACTGCCCTCCCTGACAGCCTGGTCACCCCCAACTGCACCCCCTACCTACCTGGTTGCCCCTTTCTGTGCCCCCTTCAGGCCTGGTCCCCCCAAACTGCTCCCCCTACCAGCCTTGTCACCACTCATGGCCCCCCCGCTGGCCTGGTCGCCCTACGCAGGCTGCTTGTTCAGCTGATTGGTCATCCCTCACTAATCCCCCTGCCGGCCTTGACGCCCCACGCAGCCTGTTCGGTCATCCCTTTGATTGTTTTGGATGTGACGGTCTCTTAGGCTTTTATATGTATAGAATACAGTTGATAGTCGCTATTGTTTTATATTAGTTTCAGGTGTATAGCACGGTGGTTAGGCATCTATGTAAAAAATCATGAAACACTTCATGGATTTGTGTGTCATGCTTGCGCAGGGACCATGCTAACCTCTGTGTTGTTCCGATTTTGGTTTATGTGCTGCTGAAGGGAGCACTAGCAAGGTATTTGTACACCATCTTAAGGCCCTACCTGCATATCAAGGTTATTCAAATTCTGTCAATACCTCTGCAAAGTAAGTATTATTCCCACATTGTGGTTGAGAAAAATATGACTCAGAATGTTAGATACTTAACCCTAGTGTTACACAGTTCAAATACTCGCTATAAGGTACTGGATTTGGATTTAGGTTTCTTTGAACCAAACTTTGCTGCATCAATTGTTCTGTTGGTATCTGTCTCTCCGTTACATGTTAAGCTCCCAGAGGCAGATGGCATGGACAGGGACAGCCTCATACCTCCTGGGGCTGTTCCACAAGCCATCCAAGGTACAATGTGTGGAGCAGTCATGTGGAGCTGAATGACTGAGGCAATGCAGGGAACACAGTTGCAAAGCGCGTGATGGCTCCACATCGGGTCATGCACAGGCTCAGGAGTGAAGTGTTGGATGCACCCGGAGTGCCAGAGCGTCTCTCTGTGGGTCCATCTCCCTGCCAGGGTTTCCACTGGGAGACAGCGAATCCAGAGCAGGCCAGCACCCACTGCTGCATGATCTCATCCCTGTGGACCAGGGCACTTTCTCCCTCACAGGCTCCCCTTCCTTAGCCAGGAGCAGAGGGCGGGGCGGGGGTAGCAAGCTGTTCTGCTGCTCCCAGTTGCACAGGGACACAGGATCCGGTGATGCTGATTGGGCTTACCTGCCTGGACACTCCCTGCAGCCACATTCACCCCGTGTCCCTCACATGCCAGGGTGGCACAGGCAAATCCACAGGTTAGCCAACAGGACTCATCCAGGAGGCGAGGCAAGCTGCACTCCCACCCCTTTCCCACTGGTTACTAAACCTAAGTAAGTACAAAGCATTATGGTCTCATTCTAATGCCCTCCTGATTTACTTCCATTTCTTCTCCTGCCTAGAGCATTCTTATCTCCTCAAAGGTAAAGAGAAGAGAGAAAATTTCTAATATCATCATTAACTTTAGAAATTTAAAGTTTTGAGAAAAAAAATTTTCTTTTTGATACTTTTGAAATTCAAATTTCCTTTCCCTTAACTTTCCTGTCATAACTTTTGAAAGCTATATTATAGTAAGTATGGACTTCCTTCTTGTTTTTGTATTTCTGATGAACAAAACTGTGCCAAGGGTAGAGGGTATAAATCATTGATGGCGAACCTATGACATGCATGTCAGAGGTGACACTTGAACTCATTTTTTTGGTTGATTTTTCTTTGTTAAATGGCATTTAAATATATAATATAAATATCAAAAATATAAGTCTTTATTTTACTATGGTTGCAAATATCAAAAAATTTCTATATGTGACATGGCACCAGAGTTAAGTTAGGGTTTTTCAAAATGCTGACAAGCCGAGCTCAAAAGGTTCGCCATCACTGGTATATATGATCCTCACTGATGCCCGAATTGGGGATGGGGGAGAGGCAGTGGCCAAGGGTGGGAACCAAATGAATAGAGAAATCTTAATCTCATCTAACATATCAGGCTATATTTGGTTGCTCTTTTGTTACTGGACATGAAATATGATCTGTAAAATGAAAGGGGCCTGAAGCATGAGGGTTTGCCATTCTTAGCCATGGTCCTATTCAGCCCTGAGATGAAAGAGGAAAAAATTCAATAAAAGACCTCATAAAGGGATTTATTGTTTCCATGGAGATATCAGATCAGGGCCACAAGGGATTAGGAATATCCCAGGGGTCTCCATAGTAGGTAATGGCTGAGAAAAGAAAAAATGTCAGGAGTAAGTGGGAGAATTCCAAGGGTTTGTGAACTCTGTGAGGACACAGCACCTTCAGTCCCAGAGAAGAGATGACAGGAGGGGCATTGGAGGAGAGAAGGCATATGATGGACTTGGCCAGCGAATAGTGCCAGGTCACCCAGCATGTCCACTCTTCTGCTCTTAGGATTGGCAACACACCTGCAGTAACAGGACAGACATGAGATTCATTGGTCTCAGGGGCTCGGTGCTATCTTCATGCTGTTTCCCAATTTTACTAGCGCTTTTCAACCACAGTTGTGTCCACAATCTCTCCCCACTCTCCTTCCTCCTGTCCTGTGTCTCCCGGTCCCAGCTCTAACAAATGGGAATCCTTACCTTCCTTCTGGCATGTGACTCACAAGGGCCCTTGGTGTCTGGAGGCACCAGCTGGGCGCAGGCCCTGGATAATGAAGACGGTGCCCGTGACGATGCCCACGAGGCCCACGGCCAGGCCCAGGGCGCAGACCACTGTCTCCGTCAGCTCTGACATGGGGGCTGGAATCTCGGGCTCTGTGGGAGTGAGGTCATGGAGGTCAGAATGCAGAAGGTTGGCTCACAGCATGTGTACAAGATGGGGTGGGAGGGGTGGTGTTGGTTCTACAAAGACTTGGCTCCTGGTTGAGGGAAAATAATGAAGTTTACCATTAGAAATCCTTGAAGTGTAGAAAACAGGCTTTGGGCCATGAGATTTAGGAGCTAAAAGGCAGAGTGTCTGACATGACAGAGGAAAGAAGATACACACCCCAGTGCTTCAGGAGTGGCTGGTCCAGCCCCCAGTGCTCCACCTTGCAGTCATAGACGTCGTCAGCAGAAGGGAGGAAGGTGAGGTAACTGATCTTGAGGAAGGAATCATCACTCTTGGACAGGAAGCTGGTTTCAGAAACACCCTGTGTGACTGAGTGCCCGTTGCTCAGCCACGAGATGTTGATCACAGGAGGGAAGATGTTGTCCACGGCACAGATGAGGGTGTTGGGCTGGCCCAGCTCCACGGGAGACTTGGGAAACACAGTCACCTCAGGAACCTCTATGGTGAGGAAACAGCACTGGGTTTAGAATCGTGGGCAGCTCTGCCCTGAGGGTCCCTGCTTCCTGGAGGGGCCTCCCACCAACGTTTCCCCATCGGAGAGCAGAGATGCTCTTGTTCCCTCTGCTTGTGAGCCGCTGTACACTGCCCGCCCGTCATCCCCACGCCCTTCTCTCTGTGGGCCCCTTGGTAGGGGAGGACGTCTATGGGACCCGTCCTTGAAGGAGTTGAGGATTGCATAGGGGAGCAAGAATCTGTATTTCATGGAAATATGTGATTTGTAAGAAGGTAGAGGATGAGGGTTCAGCAAATTCCATGAGAAGATCTGGGACTCCCTGGAAAAGAGACCATTTTATAGAGTGAAGGGAATCTATTCAAAAGAAGAAGGGAGTGACGCCTGGTGAAAAGTAGAGTCAGTAAAGAGAAAGGATGGTGGGCACATACCATTGATAGCAGCTGTATAGTTGGAGTGTTTAATCATGATGTCCAGGTTGTGGTTCATAGTAGCTATGTTTCTCAGTCCACCCTGTGGGTCAAAACCTCCAAATTCACTTAACCCAGGCAGCCGCCAGACAGTCTCCCTCTTATTTTGGTCCACGTAGAATATCTCCTCTCCATCAAATTCAAAAGTGTACTGGCCTGAGGAACCATAAGACTGGGAGAAGCATGGGCCAAAGTTCCCAACGTGGTCAGCTGATGAGTGAGGTGGGAGCAGGGAGGTGTAAAACACAGGAGAGAAAGGATCTCATTAAACAAACAGACAAGAGACAGACGTGCAAACATGGGATTCACCTTTGGCACATCCTGCAGACTGTCCCCAGTGCCTGCTCCCTCCCCTGGCTGTCTTGTTAGAATCCAGCTGCCTCTCCACTCCCACATTCGCTCCTGTCACAGGAACAGAATTTCACAGGTCTGTTCACTGCTGTTCTCTGCCTGCCTAGCTCAGCGCCTGGCACCTCATGGGTTAATAATAAATACTGAAATGGGCAGAACAAGGAATTAATGAATGAACATGGCCTTAGCTTTCTTTCCCAGAGATTCAGTTTACCTTCCTCTGCTTCATAAGTTTTCTCTCTCAATTTCGTCTTCGGTTAATAACACGCTCATTGTGGGTCCTCTCCCCTCAGGAATGGCTCAGAACAGAACATGTTCTATGCAAGGATTCCTTCCTCCTTTTATCTTTTTTTAACCAAGGAAAAGCACACCCAATATCATTGTTAAAGAATTGCCTCTATTTTAGGGAATAAGAAAGAGCAGGATAAGAGCGGTGACAATATCACAAAATGCATAAATGGTAAACAATGCTTCTAAGGTCTTTGCTTTTTTCAGTTTTTGTTGTTTTGTTAATCTTCACCTGATATTTTTTCCATTGATTTTTTTTTTTTTTTTTGAGAGAGAGAGAGTTGGCTGGAGGGAGGGGAGAGAAAGAAAGAGAGAAACCTCTCAGATCAATTGGTTGCCTCTGCCAGGCAGCTCTGGGGATTGAACCTGCAACCCAGGTACCTGCCCTTGACTAGGAATCAAACCTATGACCTTCCATGGGCATGCCAGCACTCTAGCCACTGTGCCACCAGCCAGGGCTAAGGTCTCTGCTTCTGGAACAGGGTGGTCCTTAGAGGAGAGGGCCTGGTTTCCTCTGAAATGAAACTGGAAACTTCATTAGACTTGGACTTCTGTCATTTCCCACCATCTTCTTTTCTTGAAGGATGTTACTAAACCTCTCCTTTTTCTGACTCAACACTTATCTTGTGGAGGACTCAACGAAAACTCTGGTCTTTCCCTCGAATGGACAGTGGACTTGGTGTGACGCCAAAGCAGAAGGCAGCCAGCCCAGCTGACTCCGCCCAGGGGAGCCTGACTGGACAACTTGTCTGAGCCTTTTACCGTTTCCTCTTCCCTCCCTACTTCCCAAGTATCAACAAGGTTTCAGACATTGCGAGGAGCGAGGAGTATAACATGGACCACACGCAGTCTCTGCCAGCAGGGAGCTTAATGAATAGGGTAGTCCGGTGAGTATGGAGCCAATAGGTGTAGTGTGCTGAGTCCTCCACAAATACCTCACCTGCCACTCAAACCAGACGTCACCCTTTCATGCTCCTTGGACTTTACAAGGGTCTGTTTTCCTCCCTCAAATTATCTTCCAGGATTTTCTGGACACCTCCAGTTCATTCTTGACGTTTCTGCTTAGTCACCAACTTCTTAGC